TGTCCTTCTGATATCGCTTGTAAATCAAGCATAGCGTTAGTTCTGGCAGGTCACGTTAGTCAAGCTCGCATCAGCTGACTCTCAGCTGATCCCCATCAACCTATGGGAATACGACACCTATCTAAGCATTCATATATTATGTCCCTCAGTATTATCAACAGTTTTCGCATTGCTCAATAGCTAATTACCCTCCTCCATCCCCAACTCCTCCTCTGTCAGTCAGGATTCAGCCTTCTGATTCTCCTTTGAATCAGACTAATTCTAAAATGTGTACATAAAATGATTGAACTTTAACAATATCTGCAATACATTTATGTTGGTTCTGTTCTGTTTACCCTGGGGGGTTATTGCTGCTCTCCCTGCTCACATCAAAACTGGGCTGCATGGATGCGCAAGGAGTTCTTGCCCAGAACAGAACCATACCGCCAATCCAAACTGTATGCTAATTGTCAGTCATCTTTGACGATAGTGGTCCTGACAGAAATGTTCAAGAACATCTTCATTTGTTTTCAATACCATATAATTTCTTTATTTTTTACTAAATAAAGTAAATGACTATATATGAATAGCATCAACATAAATTAAGGTCATGTTGCTTTATAGAGAAAAGAAGGTCTGCAAGGGGGAGACCGGGTATGGTTGCAACATGGGGAGAGTTGTAACAACACCATTTCCACCAATCAGGGATAAGCTAGGAGTCCTATATATTTACCCACTTCCTCCCCGATTTTATATGAATGGTTGTTAAGGCTGTAAATAGGTATATGCAGATTTTATAAAGAAAAAAATGATTTTGATGTAAGAATGTAAATTTTTTGATGAAAACTACATTTTGTTTAGTACTTAAAACTGTTGCAGATAAAATCATAGAACTTACATTAGAATAAATTCAAACCATTATGCAAATACAGCTAACTAAACACTGGATGGCAGGGGTGGGGTAAGTTGTAACACATTTTAGCATGCCCTTACATAGAACTGAGAACTTTCATGTTGTCTATATGGAGCCATTTGGAAGCTCAAAGTCAAAGGAAATGTGGGTAAAATGTGCCCTATGCCGTCTCTGGATCCCTGCTCTCTTATAGGCTTAGATCTCTGCCACAATTCTGCGTGCGAAAGACGATATTTTGAGCGCACAAAAGTGCATTTTGCACGCGCGCGATCTGAGTTTTGTGGAGAAAACGTTCGTTTCGCAAAGAAAAAAGTATTTCGAGCGCACGAAAATCAATTTTGCATTTAAAATAAGTTTTTGGATGCGTGCAGACCTTCTCATTTGCGCGTGCAACGTTTCACTAGCTTGCTCCCTTTATGCCCGCCCTCAGTGCTCTCTAAACGCCAACAGCTCGCGTGCTCAACACAACCCAGCGTTACAATATGCCATAATTCCAGCCAATCAGAGACGAGGCTGCTAAATTCTGATTGGCTGCCTTGACAACCACTCACAACATTTCTTGCATTACCACGACAGCAGAAGAGGAAAAATACAGTGCATGCATAATTATTATGCAAGTTGATATTCTGATTATATTTTTTCCCAAGCACATTTGACCAATTCCAAACAACATCAATCTTAACTGCTATTAATCTTGTATTTAATCACTTATAATCTATATATTATTGTTCATGAAGGCTGGAAGTGAAAAACGCCTTATATTCAGGGGTGCATAATTATTAAGCAGGTTATCTTCTACAGATACCGATCTCCCCTATCTATAGAAACAAGAGAGCAACCAAATATAGAACATAAAGTACTTGTATAAGCGATATGGTTACTGAAGGCTATGACAGGATGCTAAACAAGTTATGTACAACACCGTAGAGCAGTTGAGTAATAGTTGCAATAGTTTTACATAGTTAGCGTTTGTGTAGTTGAACATAACAAACAAAAAACCAACAGACAGATACACACAGAGCTGCTGATGCAGGGGTTATTTTTGCTGCTGTTTTTTTAAGCTTTGTTAATAATTTCCAGGGATGGCAAAAGCTGTTTGGCCAAGGACTTGCTATTGAAGGACAATATGATAAGCAGGTGAGGACTGAACTTACATGAGATGTCCACGTAGGACTGTGAGAAAGCAAAATGTGAGACAATAAGCAGCTGTGTAACAGTTATTACATTTAATAGCATCTATAGTTTCTGCAGATTTCCAGGTAAAGGATTTTACAAATGAAAATGTATTTGCTTGCTTTATTTATTTATTTGAGTTGCTTTTCTGAGACAAAAAAAATATCAAAATTATAAAGAAGCAAATTATTAAAACGTACTAGTTGTTTTTTTCTTTTCTTTGTTTGTTTTTGTTTTATTAGTCAGGAAAAAAAGGGGGAAAAGTGTTGTTTTCAAAAGGGTTTGAAATGAACTATACGTGTATTATAGTCACTGGTTCATATTTCCTCACCCCGTCAGCAGTCATGGACAAGATGAGACAACCCCTATTGGGCAATAGCTGGTGTCCAGTTACATATGACTAAGAGACAGGGATTTAACCACAATGTGAAAATGTGCATGTTGGCATGGGAACTTGTCTCTTAAAATAATGTGCTAGCAACAAATGAGGTGCTATAGCAACAGATTATGTGAACAAACGTCTGCTTTGTCCTATTAAAAAGAGTGGCAATTTGGCCTTTGTTTGGTAAAATGTGTGGCTGTGTGTCTGAACAAAACCGCTATCATCACAAGGATCTGTTCACATCACTTCAGAGGGAATCTGAGAGGTCAGTGTCTCTGACTGTGAAGTAAAAGTATTTAGGCCTATTACATGACGAGATTGTGAAGAAGACCAGGAGGTGCTTGACTTTGAATGTGCAGGAGTAAGGAAAACCGTACACAAAGCCCACTTTTAAAGAGTGTTTTTCTCCTGAGGGAGCATGGCTCTGCTCCCAGATATCTAGATTTTACAGCATGAAAGCTCACTAATGAATCTCTGTTTCATGTAAAATCTTGACTGAATGTCTTGGCATTGAAATAACATTGGAAACCTCACCTGAACTAGCTGCACTAACAGATGGCATAATATTTACATTTACATTTCAGCTTTTTAATGTTTCATTTAGATGTACATTTGATATTGGATATGGATGCTATGTGGACTGCTTCTGTGTGTACTTCAGGGCATGGGCATGCATGCTTAACTTGGGACTATAATTAGCATGTTCATGTGAGTCAAAAAGGAAATTACATGCTTGTATCTTACAGTTAGTTGAAAATAAACGGTAAACATCTAAATGTCGAGGTGCAAGTGTTTATCAAAACTAGGAAATATGACCGCATATGCATGGTTAAACTTCCTTTTTTGATGTTTGTATCACGGTTACAGTACACAGTCTGTATACTGAGGTTTTGTCAACCACTGAGCAAAAAAAAAAAAGGTATTCATATGTATAATACAGATAAAATGTAAACTTGTTAAAAATAAGAGCAGAAAATATTGCTTTGTGCTGTTGTTACTCCATCACATGGCCTTTTTGTCATATTTGTTTTAAATTCCTCCAAAATGAGAGGCACTATGAACCCCTCCGTCATGCATGTAGCTGCACATATGGAACAAGTCAAAGTTTCCATGTGTAGACTAAAGAGTAGAGCTGACCGAGCAGCAGTCATTAAGTGGAAAACCTGAGGCGAAGTTTGGAAAGGAAGTAAATGAGCTCATAAATCCACAGTATGTATGCTCATGTCTCCCACACTCATCAGACTGTACCTGTACCACCTGTACTGTGGCCAGGATATAATCAACTTCATTTTCATCAGTTCTTATCCTCAAATCAGCCATATTAAAAATTAAACATCGAGTTATACCAGTTTACATCTTAATGTCATATGAAGTTTGTTTGATTGTTTGTTTTGATCAGGTGTGAAAAAGTTTATGTTTTGCTAACTTTTTAGCCTATATATTAACCTTTTATACATTATATTTTTTTAAGTATTACGTATTAAACATTAAGTAGTAAGTAGATTTCCATGTTAATTTTACTTAATTCCATTCATGCAAATCTCATGTCACTAGTAATATAGCAATATAACACTCAGTAATATAACTTGGAGGCAGTATGCTAACATTCTTTCTTTCTTTCTTTCTTTTTTTTGTTCTTCAAAAATTGAACAGCAGTAGTAATGCATAACCATCCTTTTATATAGGGTACTACATACTTCTAGTTCGGTAGCTTGCAGCATCATAGCAAAATGAAGAAAAGATGGCAAGAGTTATGGACACAGGAAGGAAAGGGAAGACACTTTCAATATGTGGATTTCCAGAAACAGTCAAAGATGTTTTTTCTTAAATGTGCTGGTTATAACAAAAGAGTTAAGGATAAAAAGGCTAACACTGAAGAGTTTGCTGGACGATAATTCAACAATGACCAAATCTTTTTAGATTATCTTAAGAAAACTAGTTTGATCGTAATAATTTGTTCTCTCTCCCCCTTCTATATCAACGCGTCACACTCCACCCCAGTAGGTGGCAAAAATACACCAAATCTGGTTTGCCAACCGCCATTAAATCCAAAAGAAGAAGAAGAAGAAGCATCATAGCAACGAAGAACGAAAACGGCGACTTCCCTTCAAAATGGCAAGTACATTTTAGCACTTAAGCTTGATAACGTGTGCTTATAATTGAAAGAACATGTTTTTTTTTTCGGTCGTTATTGTCTCAGTTAGGGTTTTTGTGGGCTAACTTTGATTGCAGGGCTCGAGTAAATATAATAAATAAAAGTAAAAATACGTAGCCTACATTTAGAGATGTCACTATAATCAATAATATAAATTGAAAACATATCTACAAACACATATTATATTTGAAGAAATTCTTAGAATATCAGATGAAGAGAGTACCTCAAAATTCTATTTTGTTTTTATTTATTTATTTAATGTTTAGTGTAAAACATAAATTCAGCAAAAATGACAGTGTATATATATTTTCATGTTTGACTCAAACTATACTGCACAATAATCGATCTAAAAGTCTAGTTAGACTAGGTAATATAAGAGAACTAAGAACTCACTGGTGCAGTGGCCTGCTTTCCTCCAGTCCAGCAGATGGCAGTAACGCAGAACCGACCGTTCACATAATACATACTTCTAGTTCCGTAGCTTGCAGCATCAATCTAAGCAACGAAAACAGCGGCTTACCTTCACAATGGCAAGTACACTTTAGCTTTTAAACGTGATAATATGTGCGTATAATTGAAAGTATGTGTTTCTTAGCTCGTTATTGTCTCGGGTAAGGTTTTTGTAAGCTAACTTTGACTACAGGGCGTTGTCATTTAAGACATGACACTTAGTAACCAGCTACTGTTCGACTAAATATAATAAACAAAAGCCAAAATACGTTTTTTCCCCCCGCAGACAGGTTTATGGATTTTCAGAGCGGCTACTCCGAAGGATATTAGATATTAAAGCAATGACATACAGCTTTTTTCGTGTTACTTTTGCCGTTTTAATCACTTAAGCGTTTATGTTGCAGGCTGAGGTGGAAGAGACGATCAAAAGGATTCAGAGTCAGAAAGGAGTACAAGGAATCATCATTGTTAATGCAGAAGGTATCTGGCAAATGAGAAATGCTTGCAGATGTTTTAGTTTGGGTGCAAACGATGTGCTTCATTGGCAGCATGATATTGATAAAACAAAGAGATCTTTGTTATATCTGTAGTATTTCTATGTGCTCTTTAAACAGGCATCCCCATCAAAAGCACTCTTGACAACTCAAGCACAGTTCAGTATGCCGGTAATGTGCACCAGCTGCTCATGAAAGCTCGGGGAGTGGTGAGGGACATTGACCCTCAAAATGATCTCACCTTTCTCAGAGTTCGATCAAAGAAGAATGAGATCATGATTGCCCCAGGTAAGGAGATGTACACTTGTGAAATGCTCATTTCCATTAGGTTATTGCAGTGGTTCTCCACAAACTTCCAAGCCAGACAATGACTTAAAATGATTTAAATCAATATAAAAAAAGTTAAAATTACAATAATAATAACTATTAAATGAATATTTCACCCAAAAATGAGAATTTGCTGAAAATGGACTCACCCTTAGGCCATGGTGTATGTAACAGAGTTTGTTGTTTCATCAGAACAGATTTGGACTAATTTAGCATTACACCCTTTGATCCTCTACAGTGAATGGGTGCCGTCAGAATGAGAGTCACAACAATCCACAAGTATTTGTCACGACTCCAGTGAAGCGAAAAGCTGTGTTTAACAAATTAACACATCTTGTCTGAATCAGGAGAGAAACATGCACTTCACAAGGCATTAATTGATGGACTGGAGTTGTGTGGATTATTGTGCTGTTTTTATCTGCTGTTTGGACTGTCATTCTGATGGCACCCATTCACTGCAGAGGTGGATAAGTGTGATGTAATGCTAAATTTCTCCAAATCTGTTCTGAAAAGGAAACAAACTCATCTACATCTTGGATGGCCTGAGGGTGAGCTAATTTTCATTTTAAAAGAATAGTTCACCCAAAAGTGTGAAAACAATCTAACTTAATTAAAACTTCAAGTCACAAAGGTCACCACTGGGTTAGTGGGCCTGTGAAGCTATTTTAAAGGTCTTGGATGACAGTGTTTGACTAATCATGCTTTGTCTTGAAATTAATAATTATATGTACAGTTTCCTTTTTTGTAGATCAGGTATATGTTTTTAATATTGAATAATATTTTTACTCAATCAAATAGCTGCCAGCAGACTTGCAGACCATTTAAATGTCAGATGTGATGTTTAGGACTGACTGTGTTTCGCAAGTGAATCTCATCCGTTTGTTCGGAAAGTGTGGTCAAAATCTGGTGTATCTACACTGTGCATAAACATTGTGTATGTAATGCATATTTCTATTCAGAATACAAAAACCTAAACAGATGTGAGTTGTCTATGACAGTGTTTCCCAACCTTTTTTTTAGTCGCGGCACCCTTTGGAAATTTTAACAAATTTGTGGCACCCTACAAAATTATTTTTGTCACAATACTTGAATTTCTAACTTTGATATGATACTTTGAAAAGTATAGATATTCGGTACTGCGGGAAGAACTGCAGAATATACTGTCATACAGATATTTTTAATATTATTACATTTTTTGTCCATCAATTGTGGCAATTAGTAGGCAATTGCTAATGAAGAGACCAGTTTATATGACAGATTTTAATGTAGGCTTTTATTCATATGTAAACATTGTTTAATTACCATTATAACTAGATATCTCACAAATTTTTGATCACTCAGTCTATTTAGGATTTTACAGTGGGGTAATTTTGTTGCAGTTGCACGAGATAGCTTGATTTCAAACTTTGAATTGAATAAAAAAATGACAAGTAAGCAGTCAGTAATAAAATAAGAACAAATAAAGAAATTACTAATGGTAGCACAAATAAAAAATAACGATAGGACTACAAATGAAATAAATTGCTTTTTAGTTTTTCAGGTAGGACTATTAAGAGATTTAAGTTTTTTTTTTTTTTTTTAACCAATTATCCAAATAATGTTCAGTCCTAGAAAGCTATTATTATCAGAACACGTGAGAGTAACATAGCGGTTAGCAGATCAATGAATGAGAGGGCAACATTACCAGAGTTGCCACACCATGTTATAGCACAGTAGGGCTATTGCAAACAGAAACAACACTGTACTACATAGATGTTTCCTGTCGGCTCGATATTTGAGTGGACTTTGCTGTTCCGATGAGCATGAACGGTATGCGACTGAGCGGAGCGCACACGCATAGAGCGGGATAATACGCAGAGCTTCACACCACGTGAAAGTGAAACCTGAACTAATTATCGGCAGCTGGAATTTCGGTGCATCTCTAATTATTGGCGACACCAGAAATGGATATTATATAATAGATGCTTTTTTGAACATTTTAGCAATTTAAAAATATTAAAAAAGGATTTTTTACACTGCACCCCTGCTCTCGACAGACGGCACCCCGGTAGGGGAACACTGGTCTATGACATATAATTGTAAATAGACTGATAAATATGATCATAAATTAGTATTTTATTCTGTTCTCTCCGCAGATAAGGACTATTTCCTGATCGTCATTCAAAACCCTACAGAGTAGTTCTGAATTCTTCGTAGTTTAATTAATTGCCAAAAGTGTTTCATTTCATGTTCTAGGAAAGCTTCCATCTTATTAAAAATATTCAGTTTATACTGCTCTTGCTTATCATTCCAATATTTTGCTCTTTGTGTTGTAATTTATTGTTGTCTCATATTCTCTCTTTTGCAAATTCTCCAGCTGTTCATCATCTATCAGTATCAACATGACACTATGACATACTGTACTTGTTCATTCTAAAAAAGGACAATAAAACAATAATGCATTTCCTTTCATTTATTTTTTGCTTGTATATTTTCATGTGGAATGGAAAGATGAAGCTAAAGTGTTACACAGTTTGCCATAATGTAAAACTGTGTTTAGATAGGTTTAAATTAGGGCTGCACGATAAATCGCATGCGATATTTAACGCACATCTTGTCAGAAAGCCGGTTCTGTAATCAGCGGTAAATCTCCATCACCTGCGGGCTTTCACATTGAGCAGCATTAACTACACAGAGCCGGTGTTCACTGACGAGCTGCGCAAAAAATCGCGCGAATATGAACGTGGTTTTGCGCAACTCGTCAGGGAACAACGGCTCTGTGTAGTTAATGCTGCTCAATGTGAAAGCCCGCAGGTGATGGAGATTTACCGCTGATTACAGAACCGGCTTTCTGACAAGATGTGCGTTAAATATCGCATGCGATTTATCGTGCAGCCCTAGTTTAAATGTATATGAACTATTGATCTATTAAATGATTTATAATGTTAAAAATACACAATTAAGCTATTATAAAGAGTTACTAAAATGCAGAATAGTTACAGAAACTTAATTTCTAAGATTAGAATAAATACTTGGAAAAGGTGTTGTTATAAATTTATGTGAACGTACGTAGACCTGTACTTTAACTGGGTGCTCTGTCCCTTTAAATCCTGCTATGACATCACGAACGTTAGTACGTTGTCTGGAGCTGTTTTGCTTACAGTGAGTCAGGAGCTCGAGGAGAAGCGAAGTCGACCGAGAATTCAGCATATAATATAACTTTTATTTTAGTTCAGTTTTTTTTTGATCACATTCAAGTCCAGTTATGCCATCCGACAGACCCTTCAAACAGAGACGGAGCTTTGGTAAGACGAGTTTTATTCGTGCTGTGTCAGCACAAGTGTGTTTGTTTATCAGGTTTGTTTTTGCCCCTAGCCTGCTAGCAGCTGGGTGACGCACTTTACAGTTTCCTATAAGGCCTCGCATGCTTATGAAACGATTTTAGAGATATTTAGAGATACGTTTAAGATTTAAGTAAAACGGGTTTTAACCAAACCGACAGAGGTCAGTTGGTATCCAGTGAGCTAGCCTGGCCCATAGGCCTTCTGTTTCAGTAACAACAGCTTTAATCCACAGATGATTTGGTAGAGATCATGTACATAATAATATACACGTATTTTTATGTTGGTGTATTGTTAACCATATTTGAACTGTCAGGTATTAACATCTATGATAGATGATCTATGATATTCATTTACTGCTACTAGTATTCTTGTCTATCAATTGGTATAAAATAAAGAAAGCAGTCCTTTTATGAATATACATTGTGATTAATAACAACATTAAAGAAATGGATGGACATTATTACACGTGTTGGTCAAATGATGCTGTAATTTGAGCTCTTTCTCATAGTCCAGACTAAGGACAGGGTGTGGGGAGGGAGGAGCATAAAGCCCTTGCATAATCTTCATAAAACATAACAAAAACAACATATCTGCGGTTTTAAACATATCTGTAAGTATCCAGGCCAATATGTTCTGCATATTTACTTGGCCTTTGGGGTTATGTAATTGACATGAATGACCCTGACATGGGCTCAGTTAAGATGACATATTGACACAGAGTTGGGGCTCTTACTCTGTACCAATAAGCAAGCTGGCTTAGTGTTGTGGTTTAGCATTTGACATGCATGTTTTTTTTTTTCCAATGTTACTTGGATTGACCCAATCATTATGCTCTTAGAACAAAAAGACTTCTCAGATAAAATTGGGTTACTCTGGATAAAATAAGAGTACTAATCCCCTGTGAGATAAATCGTGGGACGATAACGATAACACCTTTTTGTTGTGAGATATATTGCCCCAGAAATAATTGCGATAAGCGATATTATTGTCATTTTAAAGACCATTTTATGCCACTGAATATATAATTGTAATGTAACAGCATAATAATGCAAGAAGGCCTACACTCCAAATGACAACAAACTTTTAATTTTTAAGAATATTTAGATCATGGAAATTGGAAGTATCAAAATATTAGATACCTTAAAAAACCTGAATAAATAGTAAATAAAAATTTTCTAACAAAAAGTGCAAAGTAACAAGTAGAAAAAAAGAAAAATGCACAAAGAGCTTGTATGGAGATTTTTCCATCTACAGATTTTCCCTGACCTTCTTTTCTCTGTAAATTAAGGGTGCAAACTATTGCTGAAAAACACAAACATTACTTAGCAGTCAGATCCCTAAAACAAGGCCATATCTGCAGATGAAACTTTTTTTTGTAGAAGCATTTTTAAAATTTGAACTAGCACCTCGTGACTACACCACGTTATGTACGAGAAGCTGCAAAAGACACAGGCGCAAGTGAAATGTACAAAACATGGTGACTTTAATTTAAGTAAATATAATGGGCGATATATTGCGTCACCAAAAATGATTGAGGTCATGTACATATATTGTGCGATAAGTCGATATATTGATTATTGCGACAGGCCTATAAACAGGTTTTACGTAAGTGATGCTAATGCAGTGACTATAGTGTTTTGGGGAATGAGGGATAACTACTGTGATGTCAATCCTGTGTGCTTCTAGTTACATAAACACTTCCTAGTGTAGTGTTGTAGTCTACGATCATTAAAAGTGCTTTCTGTTTAAGTGAGTGTATTAAATCTTTGTTTTATTTTTCTTGTTTTTCAGCTGACCGTTGCAAGGAAGTGCAGCAGATACGAGAGCAGCATCCTAATAAAATTCCGGTGAGAAACTCTTTCAGCTTATGGATGTGTCATAAATGAATTAAGAATGAGTGAAGAAGGACCTTATTGCTTTCAAGATATTACTTGCATATCTTCTTTTAAGATGCTAAGATTCTTCTAAGGAGGCCTTAAGATAATTGAAAATGATTGAAAAAAAAAACAGCTTTAAAATAAGATAAAACAACTACAAATAAATATATTTCTTATTTTAATTAAGGGTTCTCATGGTCTTTGGAAACCAGGATATGTGAGAAAGCAGTGTTATTTTATGTCAGTGAGAAGCTATTATAGTTGTTATTAATATTTTAAATCAGCTTTTATTTTTTATTTTAGTTAGTAATTTTTAGTTTTTACAATTTTGTTATGATTTTGTCATGTTTTATGTGGTTATATAGTTTGAAAATAAGAAATGTTGCCTTGGAAAATTATCTGAAATACGTCCTTCGGAATATTTTATTTTATTTCAGTTAACAGTTATCTTATTTCAAGGATGTGTTTTTTTTTTTTGTTTGTTTCTTTTTGTTTTTTTAGTTAACCATATTAACCCTGGAGGAAGCCTAATTTTAAAAGTGTGATTTCTAAACCTGGGAAAGTCATGTAAATGAATAAAAACTTCCATGTACTTAATTCTTATCCAGTAAATCTGAAACAACTGGAAAAGTCACAGTTATTTGTATGATTAAATGTTGTGGATAATTAGGGGCCTTGGAGTAAAAATGTTTTAGAAGCACTGCTCTAGACCTATTTCAAGACAATGTCAAAAGATTATATCAATATCAGTTTGTATTGTTAATATTTTTTCTTCCAGGTGATCATTGAGAGGTATAAGGGAGAAAAGCAACTTCCTGTCTTGGACAAGACCAAGTTCCTCGTCCCTGACCATGTTAACATGAGTGAGCTGGTAAAGATAATCAGGTAAACATAATATCTGTAGATCCAAGTTTGGACCTTTACATTTTTTTTTTATTTTTTTTTTTTACACTTGTTGAGTTGTTGAGTGTTGTTGACCAGGTTGAGTGTACCTTCCTGCATGACTTTTATTTGATTTCACTGAGATATGCAGAGAGCTTTTTTTGTCCGTGTATGCTTGTTTCAGTCTCATCTGGTTTGTTTACTCGTCTGGTGGGGGTTTGAAGCAGGGTGGGGGAGGAGAATGCAATGGTGTGCCAAATTTGAGTGTCTGCTGACCCTGTCATCCACAGGGGACTTCTGCGAATGCTTTTAAACAGTTTGAACTTGGAAAAATGTTTGCACAACATCCAGTCAGATCCCTAAAACAAGGCCATATCTGCAGATGAAACTTTTTTTTGTAGAAGCATTTTTAAAATTTGAACTAGCACCTCGTGACTACACCACGTTATGTACGAGAAGCTGCAAAAGACACAGGCGCAAGTGAAATGTACAAAACATGGTGACTTTAATTTAAGTAAATATAATGGGCGATATATTGCGTCACCAAAAATGATTGAGGTCATGTACATATATTGTGCGATAAGTCGATATATTGATTATTGCGACAGGCCTATAAACAGGTTTTACGTAAGTGATGCTAATGCAGTGACTATAGTGTTTTGGGGAATGAGGGATAACTACTGTGATGTCAATCCTGTGTGCTTCTAGTTACATAAACACTTCCTAGTGTAGTGTTGTAGTCTACGATCATTAAAAGTGCTTTCTGTTTAAGTGAGTGTATTAAATCTTTGTTTTATTTTTCTTGTTTTTCAGCTGACCGTTGCAAGGAAGTGCAGCAGATACGAGAGCAGCATCCTAATAAAATTCCGGTGAGAAACTCTTTCAGCTTATGGATGTGTCATAAATGAATTAAGAATGAGTGAAGAAGGACCTTATTGCTTTCAAGATATTACTTGCATATCTTCTTTTAAGATGCTAAGATTCTTCTAAGGAGGCCTTAAGATAATTGAAAATGATTGAAAAAAAAAACAGCTTTAAAATAAGATAAAACAACTACAAATAAATATATTTCTTATTTTAATTAAGGGTTCTCATGGTCTTTGGAAACCAGGATATGTGAGAAAGCAGTGTTATTTTATGTCAGTGAGAAGCTATTATAGTTGTTATTAATATTTTAAATCAGCTTTTATTTTTTATTTTAGTTAGTAATTTTTAGTTTTTACAATTTTGTTATGATTTTGTCATGTTTTATGTGGTTATATAGTTTGAAAATAAGAAATGTTGCCTTGGAAAATTATCTGAAATACGTCCTTCGGAATATTTTATTTTATTTCAGTTAACAGTTATCTTATTTCAAGGATGTGTTTTTTTTTTTTGTTTGTTTCTTTTTGTTTTTTTAGTTAACCATATTAACCCTGGAGGAAGCCTAATTTTAAAAGTGTGATTTCTAAACCTGGGAAAGTCATGTAAATGAATAAAAACTTCCATGTACTTAATTCTTATCCAGTAAATCTGAAACAACTGGAAAAGTCACAGTTATTTGTATGATTAAATGTTGTGGATAATTAGGGGCCTTGGAGTAAAAATGTTTTAGAAGCACTGCTCTAGACCTATTTCAAGACAATGTCAAAAGATTATATCAATATCAGTTTGTATTGTTAATATTTTTTCTTCCAGGTGATCATTGAGAGGTATAAGGGAGAAAAGCAACTTCCTGTCTTGGACAAGACCAAGTTCCTCGTCCCTGACCATGTTAACATGAGTGAGCTGGTAAAGATAATCAGGTAAACATAATATCTGTAGATCCAAGTTTGGACCTTTACATTTTTTTTTTATTTATTTTTTTTACACTTGTTGAGTTGTTGAGTGTTGTTGACCAGGTTGTTGAGTGTACCTTCCTGCATGACTTTTATTTGATTTCACTGAGATATGCAGAGAGCTTTTTTTGTCCGTGTATGCTTGTTTCAGTCTCATCTGGTTTGTTTACTCGTCTGGTGGGGGTTTGAAGCAGGGTGGGGGAGGAGAATGCAATGGTGTGCCAAATTTGAGTGTCTGCTGACCCTGTCATCCACAGGGGACTTCTGCGAATGCTTTTAAACAGTTTGAACTTGGAAAAATGTTTGCACAACATCCACATTCTCTGTGGTGTATTATTTTCATATATCCATTGTGGTGTATTCTTTTTAAAACAAGACTCTTAAGTGAGCTAAAGTTTCCTCTTAAGGGAAGCTTATAGATCAGTGTTGCCTTCCAGGTATTTTAACACCGACTCAGTCAGATGATCAGACTAAGAATATTTTGTTGGACCCATGCTGCCTGTCATACTTAATAATCCTTGGCTGCGAGTCATGACTGCTTTATTATTTATAGTTCAGACTCGAAATAATGATTAAGTGATTATTAGAATTTAAACGCGAAGCGTGTCATTTCCACTGCACTAGAATCACAATTTACATAGCTGTTAACAAAATAAATAAACGTTGACATGTTTTATAAATATTTTTTTCAGGTTCAACACAAGTCCAGTCAACATAATCTTGCGGCATATTTACCACAAAACATTATTTTGACTCATCCCTTGTTTTCATAAAAAAGAAATAAGGCAAAATCATGGATACGAGTGAGACATTTCAAATGAATGAGGCAAGATATTAAAGGATTTAAAAGCAGATATATATTTATTATCTTTTTAAAACAATACGGTTGTTTAAGGCAGCAAAATTGCTAAACTAAGTATAACTTTACACAAAGTTTAGTAGGATTTTTTTTTTTAACAAATCATATTGTCTGCATCTTGTGGCTATATTATTGAAACAAAGTATTTTAGGATTTACTTCCATTGCAAGTATCTCACTGTAAACCAGATTTTTGCCCTTTTTTTTCTTTTTTTAAAGAAAAGGCAAAATCATGGTTTTGGTGAGGCATTTTCAATCTTTTTTTCAAAGATTTTTAAAACAAGTGTGAAGTTTATTAGTTTTAAAACGTGTGTGTTATTTGAGCTTTAAAGCTGTTTAAATCATCATTTATACAGTTGTTTAGGATTTTCATGGTAATGGTATAGCAAAATTACATATAACTTTACACATATTTCTGTTACATTGATTTTTATTTCCACACAAAAATCATATCAGGCATATTGTTTGCATCTTTTGGCTTTATTATTGAAACAGTGAGTATTTTAATGTTTACTTTGATCTGTAAACCAGATTTTTGTTTTAAAGAAAATGAGGGACAAGTGGACATTGATTTTTGTGGTAATCAATATTATGCCACAAATGCCTGTTGATAGAGTTGAACTTGTACTGAACCCTGAATATCCCTTTAAATTTGACTTGAATGTGCATGTTTTTGTCATTATAATCATCAGTGATCAAAATGTCTCTGTTTTCCAGGCGTAGACTGCAGCTCAACCCCACCCAGGCGTTTTTTCTTCTTGTCAATCAGCACAGCATGGTCAGTGTGTCCACCCCCATTTCAGAGATCTACGAACAAGAGCGAGATGAAGATGGCTTCCTCTACATGGTTTACGCCTCCCAGGAGACCTTTGGTTGCTAAGCAGGCCACTCGACCTTTGAGGGAGACAGGGACAGCAGAGGGAGGGAGAGATGTCAACAGGAAGCAGGCTCACCCAAATGTACCCATCTCTCTCTCCCCATCATCCCTGCTCTCCTCCCTTGCTGGTATGAAACAAAATAAAGCCATTGATTCTTCTCCATGTGACACTACAGTGCAAACCACAGCACTACTGTAAACACTATTCAGACTCTTCGCCCCATTTGAAACTTACTTGTTTTTTTATAAGCTAGTATAACGTAGGCATTACACTGATAATGCGTCGTATTTGGCCCCAGTTGCTTTTCCCCCCTTGCATTTTATTCTTTTTAGGCTATGTCAGATAATTAGTAACACATGTTGCTGTAAATAGATGAGTGTTTTTTTCCCTTTGTTTTAGGATTAATTTTCTTTTTCTGTCTGTTTGCTTGTAGTTATTACCTGTTACCAGACCTTAGTGTTGCTGGTGTAAGATTATAAAATCTTACTTCAGAATTAAGTGCTTATTCAAACCAAGTGATTAATCATAATGCAGCATAATTCTCATCAAGACCCATTCTGTGGTTCCCACGACAAAACTGTAAGGAGACCAATGGCTCCAAAGGTGTAGTTATAAAAATTAATTCAACTGTCAGAGGGTTTCTGAAGCCTTTATGAGCCTGTGTTTATTTCTGGGCTCCTGTGTAAAAATAACTCCTCATTCACACTGTAGAATAAAGATACTGCCTGACGGTAACTGTACTCAAAGGCAACATTGATCTGTACTGTACACATGTGAGCCAGAAGAACATCTGAAATCTTATGGCATACAGTATTCTGCAGTCAGACTTGCATAATCTTTGGTAGATGCGAATAAATTGCTTTTTTTGCACAATTAAAACATCTAAGAGGACAAAACTATTAGAAGTTCAACAATTATAGCACATAATTATATTCTCCTTTATACTTGTTTTTCTCCTGTGTCACCATACGAGCTGTATGCCTTCTGTTAAATCACAAATGAAGGGATAGTGATGCACTACTTTGCATGTTTTTTTCTCAACCTTTTTTATATTGATTTATGCTATAGATTTGTTAATTATTTCAGCTTTATTTAAAGCAAAAAAACTGAAAGAATTTGTAGATGTTTTGAAACCAAAAGAAAAAATCAACTGAAATATGTATGTCTATGTATGTTTGAAAAATGTGTGTATATAAATCATTGTATGATTGATGTGTCGTTTAATTTCTAGACATATATAAGCACTGATGATATATTGTCCAGTACCATATATGAACCTAACAAGGTTCATCGATCTATCGATCTATCTGTCTGTCTGTCTGTCTATATCTATCATCTATATATACTGTGTATATATATATATATATATATATATATATATATATATATATAATGTGTGCGCATACATACTGACTGAAGAAGGCCTACTACTATATATACACACATACATATATATCTGGAGATATGGGAGAGAAGGCACAGACACTGACAATTGAGACAGTAATGTTTTTCTAATACTATATATTTTTTTCATGCAAATCATAGATAAAAATCATCCTTGAGCAAGAAAACTGCCCAGATGTGCTAAAAGACAATTGCAGTTAAAATTCTGAAAGAATGAAAGATGCATAAATTCAGTTCTCAACAGCTGTCCCGTCTGTGTTTGAGATATGGAGAATGCTTTATTTGACTAAATTAACATCTGTAACTGTAATAACTTAGTAGTATAGATGTTTTTCTTTTGAACTAGTCTTGATATATTGAGCTTTATATAGTATATACCTGAGAGTTTCTGTATGATCAGGTAGTTCAGTACCACATGATGAAGCTGTAAAGAACACTATTGTATAACGTGCATGTATTTTAAGATAATACTGACCAACAATGTATGACATTGCAAAAGGAAAATCTGAAAAAGTAGCTTTGAAAGGAGTCGGATCATGTTTCATTATAAATGATAATGAGCTAAATGATTTACACAAATATACACAGAAACAAAAACACAAAGACAAATACATGGCTAATTTTGGTTCCGTTTTCCAACATGGCTAGTTAGAAGTTTCTGTAAGAGTCTGTAGCATCCTTTGGCCATCAGGTGGCAGTAACGTCTAGCAGGAGATGAGCAGCGAGTTGGTGAGAGACTGGTGACTCTGCTCTCTCTATCTTCTGGCCATTAGAGAGGATCTCGCATGCAGCCAGTTCATGACAAAGAGCATTGAGCACCTCCAAGATATGTGCCTTCCCTGCAGATCAGTTAGAGAGGTGTTAAGCATTAGACGCATGTAAGGGTTAATCCACTATACACTCAATATTTTAATTACATCTTTACACTGTACACTGGGGTCCAAAAGTCTGAGATCGCTAATGAAAATGCTTTTCTAACTAAGCACCATTTTTTATGATAAATTATCAGCAAAAAATGAGCTGAAAGTTCACGTTAAAAAATAACTATTTGATTTGTCTCCTTTTTTAACGGCACCAGCAGTGTTATCTTAGTATCGCTGAGATACTAATATCGTTTTTACAAATATTTAACATTTTCATATTGCATTTTCATTTTAAATTTCAAGTTTTAGTAATTTTGTTGTGCGCTTTTGTCATTTTATTAGTTATTTGTTTTAAATATCTGTATATCTATATTTTTATTTTTACTGACCTTTATTTTATTTTGAATTATTTTAGCGCATCAAGTTAAACTGAAATAATTTTTTTTTATTTTACTTCAAGTAATGAGTATACATACAGGTATATATGTATATATATTAGTGCTGTCAAAAGATTAATCGCGATTAATCGCATCCAAAATAAAAGTTTTTGTTTACATAATATTTGTGTGTGTACTGTGTATATTTATTATGTATATATAAATACACGATTAATCGTGATTAATCATTTGACAGCACTAATATATATATATATATATACATTCTCCATGATGTTCTCCAGCATGATTTGAGAAAGATCCAAAGAGCATTTTGTTTCATTGGAAGCACAAACATCAAGAATAATCAATGACGCAACCTCAAGTTTGAATAGTGAGCTATGAATAGCACAAAATTTTACATATTTTACGTATCTTTTGTTTTACTTTTTTTTTTCAAAATCACAAAACTTATTTCCATCTTAAAATAAAAATAAAAACAATATAATTATAATAATAATAATAATAATAAATCTCAGCTTTTAAAGTAGTCTCAGACTGAATATCTAATGCTCCTGCCACATTTTCATGGCATACCAGGCCTGTTAAACAACGAAGGTTTTATAAGAGCAAAGCTGCCAAGTTATTGTCTCTTACCATGCTGAGGATCACTGCAGGACTCCAATGTGCTGAGCAAAATCTTTCCTAAAGATCTTCTTGAGACATTCTACAAAAAATGTACCACCATAATAAATGTTAATAAATGGTAATTAAATGGAATTAAATAAATTGCATAAATTATATATGTGACCCTGGACCACAAAACTAGTCATAAGTAGCACGCGTATATTTGTAGCAATAGCCAACAATACATTATATGGGTCAAAATGATAGATTTTTCTTTTATGCCAAAAATAATTAGGATATTAAGTAAAGATCATGTTCCATGAAGATATTTTGTAAATTTCCTAGTGTAAATATATCAAAACTTAATTTTTGATAAGTAATATGCATTGCTAAGAACTTCATTTGGACAAATTTAAAGGCAATTTTCTCAATATTTTGATTTTTTTTGCACCCTCAGATTCCGGCCAAATATTATCCTATCCTAACAAACCATACATCAATGGAAAGCTTATTTATTCAGCTTTCAGGTGATTTATGACGCTTATGACTGGTTTTGGGGTCCAGGGTCACACATGAATGTGTGTGAAAAATTATTTCAAAAATTATAAAATGGCAAAATGCTTAGTTAACCCTAATTTAATGTGTCGAAATTAATAATGAAAATGCGATCAACCAGCCTGACATGACATACTGAAGATATTAATTGCACAAAATACTGTACTTGTACAGAAACAACAATTAACAAGGAGGATAATCATATGGACATGTTGCTAAATGACTTCCATAATGAAGTTGATATTATTTTAGAATCATCAGCAAATCCAATTAGTTAGATAAACACTCATCTACTGTACTGTGTGGCTTAGAAACATTTACAACAGCATCACTGGGCTGACAAGTCTCTACAGACTGACCAGCTCTCGCAGCTGCTGCAGAAGCTGTAGCACATCCATCAGTTTCTCCTCCACCAGAGACAAACGCACCCGCTCCGTCTCCAACATCTGCAGCTCCAGGTGGAGCAGCTCTGTCTCCTCGGCCTTCTGTTGTAGCTCCTGGACCAGGGCGTCCCTCATCTGCAGACACATAACACTTACCGTTGACCTTGCAAGCAGATTTAAACACTATCGCTCCAACACGCAATGAATTTCAGGTTAGGAGAATCTTTGCCAGATGTGCCGATAGCCCATAATTCAGTTGAGACGCATAATTTCTCAGACAGAAATAGTTCAGATATGCTTGTTTTTGGCCTGTCTGACCATATGTCAAAAATCCACATCCACATCCAAGTCTTGGCCCAAACTGGTTATGCCCAGATCGTTCGAGGATGGTTTTTTCCACGAATGTGTGTGGGGCCTTTTTAAAAACACTAGCAACATAGTTCACGTCTGGTGCTTCGCAGCTGAGCTGTGTCTAACAGCTCAATGTAGATGTAATTGTATAAGGCCTGGAGGTTTATTCCTGCGGTCATCTGATTGGCTGTTCACACAGACACACACGCAGCTGGAGAGTGAGAGCTGTGGCTTTTCTTTGAAGCCTGTCTTCTCATAACAACCAAGTGTCTTGTAATCTAATTTTACACCCCTGCACCCGAAAGCAACCATGAACGTAAAAGTAAAACAGAACTGAAAGTCCTGGTTGGGTGACGTAAGCTGTTGAAAAGAGGAGCAGCAGCAGCAGCAGCCAAAGTTTATTTGGATGAACTTCTGCCCTCGCGTATGAAAATGTCTCATTAGTATTTGAAATGTTTGATACGGATTTTAACTGCTGGGTTACTATGTGTGCTTGTGTTTGTTTTTCTTTCAGTTTAATATGATTCTGTTCTTCAGCTGTTCATGTCCTCCAGCTCAGATATTATTTGTTTCTATGGCAATGCACATAATAGCAAAAGAATCCAAATATTTACTTTTCACATCTATTCACCTCTTCTTTAACAAAATCGCATCAGGTATTTCTGGCTATGCAAGGTAGCTGAATAAGCACCTTTATTCATTAGCCACTATTGTTTTCGTTTTTACATCACAACAATCACATAAGAG